CATACACTTCTCGGATATATATTCTGCACTCTTCAACTACTTTGCACTCCATGACTATTTCTTATTTATTGACCTTATGTAAATTGGAAACAATACTGATGATATGTAAATTGCTTATATATATATGTTGATAATAGTATATTGTAGTGGGTTTTAGTCCCACATTGTTTGGGAGAACAAACCTCACACTCCTCTACTTGTATAAATATATGTGCATACTCAATATTCAATTCAAGGAAAATTTACCCAAGATTCTCTCTCTCTTACTTTAACATGGTATCAGAGCTAGGGTTATTTCCCTTCCAATAAATTTTTTTTAACGCTTCTGCGTTCTTTTGCCAAATCTTGGCCTTATTGCTTTGCAGCCGTTTAATGTTTTTTTTTTCTGCCATATATTTTGGCCTTGTCGCTTTGCGGCCTCTTAACGCGTTTCGCGTTCTCGTTTAAACCTTCGGGTTTTCATTCTAACCTTCGGGGTCTATTTTAACGGCATTACCGTTTCAAGACCGTCTCTCGGTCTCAAATTAACGGCATCGTCGTTTCAAGCCGTCTCTCGGCCTCAAACGAACGGCATTGCCGTTTCGCAGTCAGTAACGACATCTCGACATCTTAACGTCTCAACATTGCTGTTATGGCTCCTTCAGAGAAGATTCCCAAACCACCTTTGCCCCCTCAATGATCAAAATGACTGGGCAGGGTGGTCCACCATTGTCACCAATGCCTTGCGTGGCGCTGGTTTGCTTGATCATATCACCAGTACGGGAGCAGTTCCACCGTCCATCAGCACTGTTGCTTCATCCAGTACTATTGCCTCTGACAGTGGTAATGTCGATCTTCAGACTGCTCGTGCTCTCTATGTCAAGGAGAGTTCAGAGTGGCAATTGCAGGAATTTCGTGCCATGGATTATCTCACTCGTTGTGTTGGTTCTGGTCTCACTGTCGAGATTGGCTCGCTTCCCTCTGCTCGGGCCATGTGGACTCGTCTCACTGAGCGTTTCACTGAGTGCTCGGGTGCACGGGAGGCATATCTTCTGCAACGCATTTCTCTACAACGCAAAGGTAGTTCATCTCTGCAGTCCCATTTTGGACAAATGCAAGCTTTTTGGACAGAGTTACGCTCCATGCTTCCTGGACGTAATTCCACATATGAAGACTGGCTAGCCTGGTACGAACGGCATGAGGTGCATCAATTGTTTCAGTCCCTTCCTGAATATTCAACTATGGCTGATCAACTACTTCATCAGCCTCAATTTCCGACTTTGACCTCAGTTATGGGAGCTCTCACTGCTTATGAGACTCGGCAGCAGACAACACGACTCAATTTGTCAACAGACACTCCTACCTCTTCACTCGAGACTGTTTTGTCTTTACCTGTCACTGCTCCTGTTATGAATCATACTTCTCCACAGGCTCGATCTAAGCTATCTTGCAAATATTGCAAGAAGGAAGGACATCGTATTGAGACATGCTTCAAGCTTCATCCCGAGTTACGTTCCTCAGGTACTGGTCGTGGTCGGCGACCCCCTCAGTCTCAACCCTCTCGTACACCAGGATTGTTGGTCAATGCTATACCTTCTACTACTTCAGACTCTACTATTCAAGCTATTGAAAGTCTTCGCCGTCAACTTGATGTTTTCCAACATATCACCTCTACATCCGCCGCACAACTCTCTGGTATGCATTTTGCTGGTTCTTCAGCTAATCCTTTGGTCTCTGGTATGAATGATCTCTAGATTTTTAACTCTGGTTGTTCCTTTCATATGACTTGTAATGCCTCACTTTTATCCTCTATCTTTACTTCATCCTCTCTTCCTCCTATCTACACAGCTGCTGGACAACCATTGTCTATTACTCAGTATGGCTCTATTACCCCACAAAATGATCCATCTGGTCGTCTAACACTTGGTCCCGTCTATGTGGCTCCTCAGTTGTGCTTGAATTTAATTTCTATTAGCTCTTTATGCATGGCGGGCCTGTTTGTCTCATTTTCTTCTGATACTTGTATTGTGCAGGATCCACAGACGGGCAAGACGGTTGGGGCGGGTCGTAGGAGGCACAAACTGTATTTTCTGGAATATCTTCACCTTCCAGAGTCCATACGTCCACGTTCTCTTGTTGCTTCTCTTTGTTCGTCAAAACCCTCTACCTCGCTTCCTGCCAATTTATGGCATAGACGACTTGGTCATGTGTGTAATAAAAGGCTGGAGAGTCTTATTCAGTCTGGAGTACTTGGTCCTGTATCATCTAGTTCTAGTATTGAGTCATGTGCTGGTTGCAAATTGGCTAAATTCACTGCTTTACCATTTAAAATGAGTACATCTGTATCCACTTCCTTATTTGATTTAGTACATTCTGATATTTGGGGGCCAGCTCCTTTGCCTTCTTCATCTGGCTACTTATATTATGTTAGTTTTATCGACGATTTCTCTCGTTTTACATGGGTTTACCTACTTAAGAATCACTCTGACGTACTTACTGCTTATTAAGCCTTCACTGCTATGATTTTCACTCAATGGTAATCTCGTATTAAAGTTTTTCGTTCTGATTGTGGCAAAGAGTACCTATCCTCTACCATGCACTCTATCATGTCCTCTCATGGGACTATCTTTCAAAAGTCATGTCCCTACACTCATGAGCAAAATGGTGTTGCTGAACGCAAACATCGTCATATCCTCGATACTGCTCGATCAATGCTCATTTCTTACTCTGTTCCTCGTCGTTTTTGGGCTGAGGCTATTCTCACCGCGACTCATGCCATTAATATCACTCCATCTAGCTCTCTTTCTGGTGCTACTCCTTATAGTCGTGTTTATACTCATCCTCCCCGTTATGATCTAGTTCGCGTTTTTGGTTGTCGATGTTTTGTTTTTCTGCCATCTCACGAACGTGATAAATTGTCTCCCAGAGCAGTTTCTTGTGTTTATTTAGGAATTAGTTCAGAACATCGAGGTTATCGTTGTTATGATCCCGCAACTCGTCGAGTTCATATATCTCGTCATGTTCAGTTCGAAGAGGATTCTCCATATTATTCTACTTCTGATGACTTTAATTTCCTCCACTCTACCGATCATGCTTCCCCGTCCACTGCATCACCCACTTCTTCACCTCAATTTTCCTTTCGAGATCTCCCTGACATCTCTCCCTCTCCTTCTGTTGACTCTTCCTCACCTGAGTCTTCTCTTACACCATCTAATCCATATCCTGTGGACACAACTCTCACTCCAGAAAATACTGTTGATCTCCACGCACCTGCGCCAGCATCTCCCCCGCCTGAGGTTCCTCTTGCTCTTCGTCGAGGCAAACGCCCACATGTCATGCATGCCCGGTATGCTTCTGTTACTTCTTATTCACCTATCTTTCATAAGTTTCTTGCTGCCATTCATACTATTGTTGAGCCAAAGTCCTTCCAAGAGGCAGTTCAAATTCTAGAGTGGCGACATGTTATGGCTGAGGAATTTCAAGCCTTTCAGCAAACTCATACCTGGGATGTTGTTCCATGTCCTCCTGGGATCTCTCTTGTTGGCAGTAAATGGGTTTATAAGGTCAAGTTTCGTCCTGATGGCACCATTGAACGTCGAAAAGCTCGTTTAGTGGCTAGAGGTTTTACTCAGCAACAAGGTATTGATTATGAGGAGACCTTTGCTCCTGTTGCTCAGATGCCCACTGTGCGTACTCTCCTTGCGGTCGCTGCTGCTCATCGTTGGCCCTTATACCAGATGGATGTCAAAAATGCTTTTCTTCATGGCTCTTTATCAGAGACCGTATATATGCAACCGCCTCCAGGGTCAAATATTCCTCCGGGACATGTATGTCTCCTTCGCCGTGATGTTTATGGTCTCAAGCAGGCACCCCGCGCTTGGTTTGAGTGTTTTCGCGATGTCGTGCTCAAAGCGGGCTTTATAGAAAGTCATCAAGATGCTTCTCTGTTTGTTCGCACTACATCGCGCGGCAAAGTTTTATTACTCATCTATGTAGATGATATGATCATTACAGGTGATGATATGGCAGGTATACAATACGTAAAATCTCAGTTGCAACAACAGTTCTACATGAAGGATCTTGGATCTCTTCGGTATTTTTTTGGTCTAGAAATTTCTCAAGGCCCGCGGGGTGTATTACTGTCTCAACAGAAGTATCTCTCAGATATTCTAAATCAAGCTGAGCTAACGGATAATGCAACTGTCGATACTCCACTCCAGCAGAATGTCAAACTTTGCTCTACTGACGGTGAGCCTCTATCTGATCTTACCCGATATCGACGTCTTGTTGGCCAGTTGGTCTATTTGTGCATCTCTCGACCAGATATCTCTCATGCTGTTGGTATTGTCACTCAATTTGTTAGTGCTCCACGTTCTGTACACTATGTTGTCTTATTACGGATTCTTCGGTACCTCCGGGGTACTAGCACTCGCTCTCTTTTGTTTCCCGCTACATCTAAGTTAGAGCTTTGTGCATATTCTGATGCTGATTGGGCCGGTGATCCAACTACCATAAAGTCTACCACAGGTTATTGTATATTTCTTGGTGATTCCCTTATTTCCTGGCGAAGTAAGAAATAATATGTTATTGCTCTTTCCAGTACTGAGGCAGAGTATCGTGCAATGTCCATAACAGCTAAAGAGATTATTCATCTTCGTCGCCTTCTCAGTGATTTCGGCATTTCTGTTACGACTCCTACTCCTCTCTACTGTGATAATAAGAGTGTCATCCGGATTGCTAATAATCAAGTATTTCATGAAAGGACCAAACATATTGAGATCGACGCTCATTTTGTCCGTCACCAAGTTATCAAGGACAAGACAATTCTACTTCCTCATGTTTCATCCGCTGACGAGCTTGCAGATTTCTTTACAAAGGCCTTACCTGTTCATCGGTTCCAGTTTCTTGTACGCAAACTCACTTTGTTTGATCCAACATGAGTTTGAAGGGGGCTGTTGATAATAGTGTATTGTAGTGGGTTTTAGTCCCACATTCCTTCTAAGTTTCCTCTTTTACTCGGTTTCCAAACTGGGATTCAATGCTCTTGAAACTCTTTATTTCTCTGTATAAACATAATATCCCATTTCAACATCATTTGCAACCTTGCTCTCTCATCCAACATAGAACCTTTTTAAAAGCTCAGCGTGTCTGGAAGCACCCTGCCGTAGTCCAAACCCTTCAATCATCTCTTCATGAACATGTTGTACTCCAGTCTTTCCTTCTTAATTACTTGCTCCCTGCAAACTGAACGGAAAATTTATCGCTCTTGAATCCAGTTCAAAATACAAATTGATGCAACTCTTTGCAGAAACTATAGTATTTGCCTACCTTTTTCTGATTCATTTAGGTGTGGTGTGGGATTTTACCACTGATAATCACGGTATCAGTTAATTTGAAGTTCTTTCTATGACGATCGCATAGGGCTCACAAGGTTTGCAGCATATGACACTCTCTTTTCGAATCACCTTTCAAGAGATCGAACAAAACTGACATAAGTTAAATAACCAAGCATGATGATTCAAGTAAGAAGTGAAGCATAACGCGTGCGTAAAACTCAAGAAAACAAACACTTCAAACTGAAGCCTCTTAACGCGTAACCACGACTGGGAAAGCATAAAACAAAATATGTTCAGAACACAACCTCCGATCTCCAGTGAGCCTGCTCGAAGCCATATTTCACCCGATATTTCTTCCAATTTCTTCCTCTAAACGTACAGTAGTATACCTGAAGGATTAAACCATACATATTAGGCACTGGCCTTCATATAAAGGAAGCAACTGATTTCCGAACACAAAATATTTGACACACGCTCTAAACCAAAAAAAACAGCCTAACGCATTTTTTCGCCCAACCGATGACATACGTTGTTCAATCTAGTCCTATTTCTCAGCTTCAACCAATGGGCAGTGTATTTTACGAAGCCCAACAGAAATCTAGCATTAAAACAAGGCAACATATTGAAGCGTGTAATTGGAATTATGCGTTTTGGGGGGTGTTACAATGTTAATGGCCATCCCTAATTTATCTTTTTAAACGTAAATATCAAACTAGTACTGCCAACGGGAATGTACGTCAATCTTGGGAACTACCACGCTGCCGGTAAGCCAAACAGAAAAAGGGAAAGGGAAAAAAAATTTCAAAACTGCTACAAAAATCATAGACATAAAAGCATCAACATGCCAAACAAGATCTCATATAAATAGAAGTTGTACAAAACTAAATTGTCCCTCAGGCCCCCAAACATCATCCAATCCTTTCACAAACTACATCACAGAGATTACACACAAGCCGCAACCAAGAAATTAGTGAGAACAGGGACGCAAAACATAGGTTAAGGATTTGACATGCCCGCCCAACTCAGCGATTAATTCTCTCTATACAAAGCTCCACGCACAAGTGGAGTTCAAAGCGATTACACGTGTGGATTAAAATCTAAATCAAAAATCCCACAGGAAAAAGATTAAATCAAGAACCTCGGTTTCCTGTTAATATATAAAGTGGGTGTGGAACAACAAAAGCAATCCATCCTGAAAAACTCCAGCAACAACATCGCTCGTAAGTAAACGGATCCATCCGAATATCGCTCTAGATCCTCCTGGGCTCAGTTTGGAAACAGATAGATACTTCAGAAAGCAATATAAATGTAGAACAAACGTAAGTGGACTGAAAGCTCATTCCACCAACTTATCCTCTGTTTGTTATTTGAGATGTGTGCTGTGCAAGGCTATCTTTCTCAAGACCTATATCGCTCATCAACACACATCTCAAAGAGAATCCAAGGGATAAAAAATTTAGAGGACAGCGCACAAAGTCCACTTAAATTGGCAGGAGTTCCGCTCCAAGCATAATTGATATCATAATACCACATACCAGTCATATGGATTGCATATGTAACACTACCATGTGAAGGATACTGCATCTGTTGCCTCCGTCCCTAAAATTGGCCACCACCACGTGAGAAATTGCGGCCTCTCTCCCTATACCTGGGTCCAGAAGTCCTAGAACCCTCACTTGCTACATTACCACCTCTCGGATTTTGCTGAAAAGAACCCGTAGACTTATCATAAGATTCGATATGCTTATCTTCATTTGTCTGGAATTTCTGTTTGCTCCCATCTTGAGACAAATTCCGACCTCCATAGTTATTGTCATGGCCCCTCTGATTACGGCCATTGTACTGTCCATGTCGATAGCCAATGTTTTGCGGAGTTAATTCAGGGATAATCTCTTCTTTTTCTAGATTAGGAACTACATTTCTCTCTCTCCTAGAATCTTGATCGGGGGCTTCTCTTGCTTCAGCTACAGGATTTCTTTTGCTCGAAGTTCTTTCTTCCTCATTCATCACTGTCGGGGCACTCTCTGCCCTTTGCCCTCTGTTACCTCTATGAGATTTTGGCTGCCAATGAGGCTTTATATTTTCAATACCAGCATTCTGGCTATCAATTTTCATGATGCTTCTTCCTTCTGATTCATTATCACCTAAGGCTCGAGAATCGACATTATCTGAAGCAGGATAGTTATTTCCGGAGACTCTGTGTACTTTACACGGCTGGCGCCTTAGTCTGCTTGCTCCATAGCTCTTTGAAGCTGCGGTCGAGGTCACTGATCCACTTGGCAGCAGATTCTCATTATCGTTCCAGCCATCATCAGTATGTGTCAACTGCTCTTTCCGTAAGTTGTCAATATTTAATGTCTGCAGCTGATCAGAAAACGAGGAACCTTCAACTGATGGAGATCCAGTTGAGCTCCGTTGACGCCACGAGGAATTTGTCTGTCCATGCTTGTTATGTTTGTACTTTTCCCCGTTTCTGCTATCAGAAGCAGCTGCTGTTTGTTGATCCGGCTGTGAGAGTTCTTTGGCGACTGGCTTTGGAACATACCGCTCTATTTCTGCTCTCTTTGTTTTTGGTCCATTTGGTGCATTGTTCTGGCTGACTTGATCAATCTCAATCTTGTTCGTGGACTTCACAGGAGCCCACATGACACCCTCAGTCTGATGATACTTTAAAATTGGCTTGTTAGCCTGTTGGTTTTTTCTATGAGGATGGTGAGGCTTCCAGCGATTGCTCACTTTACCATGAGTTTCTTCAGTTCTTTCAGACATAGGTACTTCTCTGGAATCCAGAGTTCCTACAGTTTCATTCTCCCTCTCCCTCTCAGAAGACACTGATATAGGTTCTTCCAGTGCAGTTGAGTGCTTGGTCTTCCCACTTTCATCTTTGAGTTTGTCTAATTTCCCTCCCACATTCGATGGAGCTGAAACAGTGGAGCTTGTCAGACTCTCATCATTGTCATCACCACTGCTCCTCGCACTCCTGTTATTTTTCTTGTGTTGAACATGTGGAACTTTGTTGTTAGGTAAAGAATCATTGCTTGATGCATTCACCTCAATCTTGACGGTATCTTTATGGTTCCCGATACTGCTGGAAGTTGTTTGCTTCCCACCTGTACTGTTTTCCAGAAGAATATTATTCTTTTTTCTATAACCCACCTGCTTCTGCCTGGAAATTGTGTTATGTAGAATATCTGAAGTAGTTTCCAGTGCAATTTCTACAGTAGGTTTGATCTCCTGTCCCGGGGATACAGCTCGGGCCTCTGTCACTACAGAAGATTGGCCAGAAGAGCTTGAAGTTTGTGCAGGTTTCTTACCGCCACTATCAACTGCCTGTTTCATTTCTTCAGAATGGGGATCTGTGGTACCACAGAGAGCTTCAGTAGAAAATTTATCACCAGGTCCAGTATCCTGGATATTGTTCTGAACATCACTACTCTTTGATGAAGCACGATTGGACTTCAGGCTAGAACTTTCTACTAATGTTCGCCTGTTCAATTCTTCCAGTTTTGCACGAGCTTTTGCTTTTTGTTCCCTTGTCCACTCTTCCTCCTCCCTTTGCAGCTGTTTTGCACGCTGTGCTGCCATCTCTTTCATTTTAGCACGCTACAAAACAAGGAAATAATATCAAATATTACCAAACAGCTTTCTGAAAAATGATTCAACAATTAACAGGTTTCATGATAGATGTTTTGTCTCCCTCTAATAAGAAAAGGTTTAAGAATTTGCAAACTACCACTGCAGTCCAATACCATCATCCCCGATCAAACAAATTTAGAAAACTTATTTGCACATATTGACGGTAAACTTTTAAGTTTCACAACTTAATAATTTCAACATTCCACACAGTTGCAATATAATTTCAGCAAGAAGAAGAATAAGAATACTGCAAACCTGAGCTTCGAGATCAACTGGATCCAAAGAAGACGCTGCATGTGATCCTTCTACACCACCCACTTCAAGGCACAACTGCTTCTCATGGGAAGCATTAAATTCAAGTGTCCCTCCTTTAGCACTCATCCTGCTGGAATTCACTGAGGATTCACTTCCAGGAGGCTTTTTCATCCACTCTTCATTATCATGTCTGATAGATCTTAATTTAGTCTGACTATCAATGCTTCTAGTGCCTTGAACTTTTTTATGACCCACAATATGAGGATCTTCACCAGCAGCCTCAGAGTTTGGTGGAGCAGGGGAAAATATGTTGTCCGTAGTTGATTGTTTATTTTTGTCTTCTGTTAAGACATTCAACTCTTCAATTTTAATAGTTGGAGTTTCAATGTTAAGATTAACAGCAGGAGCCTCAGCAGAGCCAGCATAAGCACTACCTACTTTGGCAAACTGATCGATTCTTGATAAATTTTTGGAAGATATTGATTTCTCTCTAGAAACTGACCCACTTTCACAGTGACTGTCAGCCATTCGAGCTTTATTATTTAAGCTCTCCACTTTTTCCATCAGAGTTGCATTCTTCTTAATTATGGGATATTGGTTCAGATCACGAGTCTGGACGTTTGCAGCTTCAGTCCTCCTTCCATGAGTTCTGTTGCTTGAATCGGCTACCAAGTCTCTAACATCTTTAGATCGGCCATCCACGACTCCACTAGTCTGAGAAGATACTGTCTCTGCTGGAAAACAGGGAGATACTGTTTCCTGCATTTGACTCTTCATTTCGTCATCTCCGTTCTGACTAGAACTTCGAAAATAGTTTACACTTCCATGATGTGGTGAGCCAACTGCTTCAAAGTGACCTCGCTTTTCCAGTTCGTCACGGTCTTCTGAGCACTCATGCTGTTTTAACAGAACCCTGAACTGCCCTTGAGTTTCCTGAGCTTGATTAGCTTTTATCTGCTCCTTGTTCTCTACAGTAGCATATCCACCAGGTCTCATATGAATGTTTTCATGTTGGACTGGATATTGGTTATGAACAGGTCGAACCATTCCCATTATGGAAGTTTCCCTCTCATTAGGATTGTAAACGTTAGGGCGAGGACCATAGGGCACTGGTTCCACATAGTGTCCAGGTCTAACTTGGATATCAGGGCGACCTGGACCCATGTACCGTTCTGGTGGCATGTATGGACGATAAGGTCCACAGTTGTTAGGATAGGATCCACAAGGACCAGCATCCAGACTTGGAAACTGCGGATTAGATAATGGCCTTGCAGGATCATGAGTATAATCCATAGGATAACTGCCAGGTGGCCTAAAGGGACCGCCAACTGCTCCACCTCTATACCAAGATCCTTCAGCTGGGTGAAATGAAGGATTATGCCAAGAATCATATGGAGGAGGTGGCATATTCATACTTGGATATGGAGATGCCAGATGGCGATCATTGTGCCAGTTCTCCATGTTAGGTGAGGCACCGTGTTCTGCATAAGCCGGATTATCTGGCTTCCAGGTATTAATAACAGTTCCATGGTCCAAGTGATTTGTGCTCTTATTTCCTGCTAACAAGAAAAAAATAAATAAACATACATAGATAATGAAACAAGCAATGGATGATCAGCATTGTTGACTGCACCATGTAATCAACCAAGTGGTACAGGTTCAAGGAATAGCATGAATAAAGAATCTAACATCTAAAAACAACACTCGGACCTGCAACCTCACCATCTAGCTCAGGCTCCGAAAACCCTTTCGGATTTGGATCTGCTTCAGATGCTGAAGCAGGACGCCCTTGAGAACTGGCAGGACGACCTTGGGAGCTGAGAGGGCACCCTTGAGAACTATGACCTGACAAGCAATAACGATATAAGAAAACATCAACATCCATATCTTCTTTTCTATGTGAAGAGTAATGCAGTTAAAACAAATGTCTACTACACGCGTGAAATTTATCCATGAGATCAGCAAAGTAAATTTATCCATGATATCAGAAACAGCAACTGACAAACATAATGATAAAATATAGTCTTCTACACTCTTTTTCACATAAAGCAACACAGTAGAAAAGACAATTTCAAAAAATGAGCTGCTATAAGCACATCATATTGACTTATAATTATCAGATGCCATATAATGGGCCAGGAAGATCTCATAAAAGAACGTTCATGAAACCCTCAACAGTAACCCATAACTGAGCACATAATTCAGGGTGGAGATAGAATAGAAAATGAAGCAAGTAAGTGGCATCAGAAAAACAGAAGACGAAAGACTGAATGAATGAAAGAATGAGGGACACATGATAAAAAGACATTGTATGAATGCCTGAGTCGATTTTCTCAAGCCATCCAGTGTATTTATGCCTGCTTAAATTCACACACAACAAAAAAATGTGTATACAAAATACATATCACACATACATGACACTTAAGAAAGGAATTTGATGGCAATTTGTGATTTGATCGGAAACCACAAAATCATGGGTTTTAGCCCAAAAAATTGGAGAATTTTGGGGTACTCATAAAATATTCTATGCAAGACCGCTACTTTTGCCAACATGATGTATTATAAGTCTAATGAAATTCGGAAATTTTGGAGTACACATAAAAAAATTATGTTGGATGACCATTTGTGGTTTGGATGAAAACGGGCACAACATGAGTTATTGTCCACAAAAATTTGGAAATTTTGAAGTATATGCATAAAACACTTTATGTAAGACGACTATTTGTGATTTGGTCGAACACAACCAAAATCATGGGTTACAAGTCCTCAAAAATTTAGATGTTGAGTACACAACAAATACTCTACGTGGTTAAATAATTTGTGATTTGGTCAAGAATGGCAAAAATAATGGGTTATAGTCCATAGAAATTCAAGAATTTTGAATGCACGAGACGACAATTTGTGATTTTGTGAAAAACGGCAAAAATAATGGGTTAGGGAGGGTATAGTCCACAGAAATTCAGGAATTTTGGAGTACATATAAAGTATTCTACATGGGAAGGCAATATGAAATTTGGTCGAAAACAGCCACAATCATGTGTTCTAGTCCAGGGAAATGTGAGAATTTTGGCGTACACAATGTTCCATGTAGAATGAAGATGACTGATAGGTTAAAATAGGTCAAATTTGTGGTGTACACTGTACAGTCCAAAAAATGCCAATTTTGGAGTATGCATAAATTATTTGATGCGAGACGGCAATTTGTGATTTGCTTACAGTGGTCAACATAATGGATTATACAATCCATTGAAATTAATAAATTTTTAAGTACGAACAAATTACTATATGAGGGACCATGTGATTTGGTTGAACACAGTCAAATCCATGGATTATAATCCATAGAAATTTAGGAATTTGGAGCAAGCATAGAGTATTTTATGTGCGAAGGCAATTTCTGAGTTGGTCGAAAACTGTCACAATTATAAGTTATAGTCCACAGAAATTTGAGAATTTTCGAATACGCATAAAATATTCTATGTGAGATGACAATTTGAAAATGGCCACAATCATGGGTTGTAGTCCAAAAGGTGTGAAATTTGAGCTTTAAAGTACGCATAAAATATTATATGCAAGATCGTAATTTGTGATTTAGTTGAAAACGAACAAATTCATAGGTTAAAGTCTACAAAAAATTGGGAATTTTATAATATCCATAAAATATTCTATGTGAGACGACAATTTGTGATTTGGTCGAAAACGATCGAAGTCATAGATTATACAGTCCACTGAAATTAAGAAATTTCTGAGTATGCGCTGAATAATCTGTGCTAATCTGTGCAGGACAATAGCTTGTGATTTGGTCAAAAATGGTAAAACACATGGGTTATAGTCCACAATCCACATAAAATATTTTTCGTGGGACAAAAATTTGTGCTTTGATAAAAAACGGCCAAAATCATTGGTTAACTTTAAAGTATGCATAAAATATTTAATTCAAGACGACAATTTGTAATTCACCAAAATCATAGATTATAATCCACAAAAACTTAGAAAGTTTAGATTATGGATAATATACATTCTGTGGGAACGCACATTGTGATTTGCTCAAAAATGGCCACCAGGGATTTATAGTCCATAGAAATTTGAGCATTTTGGTGTACGCGTAAAATATTCTATTTAGGACGACAATTTGTGATTTGGTCGAAAACGATCAAAATCATTAGTTATAGTCCACACAAATATAGGAATTTTGAGTACGCATAAAATGTAATATGTAGTATGACAATTTGTGATTTGATCCAACATGGCAGAATTCATGGGTGTCCACAAAAGTTCCAAAAAATTAGCATGCATAAAGTATTCTATATTGGAGGACGACAACTAGATGCGGTCCAAAACAACCAAAATCATGATTATAATACCTAGAATTTCAGGAATTTTAGAGTATGCATAAAATATTTTATGCAAAAAGCCAACTGGTGAATTGGTCAAAAACGATCATAATTATGGGCTATAGTCAACAGGAATTTGGGAATTTTGGAGAACACATAAAATCAGGAAGGTAATTTGAGAATTGGTCAAAAACGGCCACACTGTGGGCAATAGTCTACAGAAACTCAAAAATTTTGGAGCACGCAAAAAATATTTTAAGTGGCACGCTAATTTGTTAATTAGCTGAAAGCGGTCAAACATTTGGTTATAATCCAGAAAAGTTCAGGCTTTTAGGAGTACGCGTAAAATCTTCTATAGGGGACAGCAATTATGATTTGATCAAAAATAACCAAAATCATTACAAATCCACTGAAATTTGGAAACTTTTTAAGTACACATAAAATACAGTACGTAGGACGACAAGTGTGATTTTGTCGAAAGGGCCAAAATTAAAAGTCATAGTCCGCTAGAATTTGGGAATATTCAGTATTTATAACATACTTTATGCAGGACAGTAATATGTGATTTAGTCGAAAATACCCAACATAATGAGTTATAGTCCACACAAACTCGGAAATTTTTTATTACACAAAATCCTCTATTCAAAACAGCAATTTGTGATTTGGTCGTGAACGACCAAAATTATAGGTTTTAGTCAACACAAATTCAAGAATTTTGAAGGACACATAAACTATTATAGGTGAAATAATATTTTGAAGGACACAAACTATTATAGGTGAAATAATAATTTGTGATTTGATTGAAAATAAACAATCACGGGTTATAGTTCACATAAATTCAAAAATTTTAATATACAGAGAAAATATCAGATGTGGGAAACTTGTGACTTTGAGAAAATGACTAATATAATGGGTTATATATTCCATAGAAATTCGTGAATTTTGAAGTACACATTAAACATTGTAAGTAGGACGAAAACTTGTAAATTAGTTGAAAACGACCAAAATCATGAGTTAAGTCCAAAAGAATTAGAATATTCTGGAGTACGCATAAAATATTCTATCTGGAAAGACACCTTGTAATTTGTAACTTGGACATTCGGACGTGTTAAAGTACGCATAAAATATTCTATGCGAGATGATGACTTGTGATTTGGTTGAAAACAACCAAAATCATGGGTTATAATCCACAAAAGTTCAAAACTTTTGGAGTAAGCTTTAAAATATTCCATGTGAGATGAAATTTTGGTATATATATTAAAATCTATGCGGGACGGTAATTAATGATTTTCTCCAAAACGGCCAAAATCATAGGTTATAGTGCACCAGAAATTCGTAAATTATGGAGTACACATTAAAAAAATTATGTGGAACAACAATTTATGATTTGGGCAAAAATCATCCATAGGCATAAAATACTCTGTGAAATGACAGTTTGTGATCTGGTTGAAAACCGCCAATATTATTAGTTATAGTCCACATAAATTCAGAAACGTTAGTATGCACAAAATACTATATAAGATATATGGGACGGAAACTTTCGATTTGGTCAAGTACAACCAAAATCACAGCTTGTAGTCAACAATAATTCGAGAATTTTGGAGTACGTACAAAAATTTCTATGAGAGCCAACAATTTGTGATTTAGTCAAAATTGGCCAAAATCATGAGTCATAGTCCATAAAAATTCAAGAATTTTGGATTAAGCATAAAATCTTTTATGCAGTGAAGAAATTTGCTATTTGGTCGAAAATGGCCAAAATTTATGGATTATAGTCCAAAAATTATGAGAAGTTTGGAGTGTGAATAAAATAATTTGTGGTTCGACAATTAATAATTTAGTTCAAAACAGTCAAAATCATCAGTTAGTCTACAAATTTATAAAAAGATTTATTATGCACAAAATAATCTATTTGAAACATCAATTTGTGATCAATTTGTGATTTGGTCGAGAACAACCAAAATTATCGGTTATAGTGCATAGAAAGTTGAGAATCTTGAGTACATATAAAATATTCTATGCTGGACAATAGCTTGTGATTTGGTCGAACACGACCAAAATAATGGGCTATAGCAGACAGAAATTCAGAAATTTTGGATTCCACATAATATATTCTATGCAGGATGACAACTTGTGATTTGGTTGAAAATAGCCACAACCACAAATTATAGATCACATAATTCGTAAAGTTTGAAGCATGCATATATATATTGTGCAATGCATGCTTAAAATTTGTGATTTGATCGGAAACAGCCAAGATAATGGGTTTCTTCACAAAATTTGGGAATTCAGAGTACGCATAAATTCTATGCAAAACTTGTGATTTGGTCATAAGAAAATCATTTGTTATAATTTACAAAAAAATTGGGAATTTTCGCGTACATGTAAAATAATCAATGTTGGACCGGAACTTGTGATTTTGCTCAAAAAATGCCAAAATCATGGGTTATAGTCCACTAAAATTCATAGATTTTAAGGTACGTATAAAAATTTTATGTGAGATGATTATTTGTG